TGGCCTTATTTCATCTCATTTTATCATGTCTCAGAGTAATCTTGCCAGAAGTTGGCACTTTATGGGATTGTTCATGTCTAATAGAAGAGTAAGCAGGGCTTAGCTGCAGCTTCTAAATGTCAGGCCTGCTCCTCTTTTGCTTTCTTCCTCATTCTTCATATTCTCTCTCCCAAGTAGTTTGTGCTTTGAGAAGTTTGCGCTTTGCCATGGCCAGGCCATGCTGCTGTTCAGTGGACTTGAGTCAGGACAGCCCCAGTCCAAAGGTCCCCTCTTGTCTGGGAAGAGCTTCCTCTGCCCTTGGAAAAGGGGAAGCCATCCATAAAGTCATGTGCCTCTCAGTCTCGGGCCCCATGACCACAGAAACCTTTGCTCTGTTTCTTATAACAAGTTAATAGAGTTACATAGGGTGCACCCACCAAACTAGGCATTAATAACTATGTTTTAAAGCATAAGGTCAACACAATCAGAAACAGTCACGAGATCTGAATCTAGATTTGTGTCCTGCATTGAACTGGCAACTTACGTAAAGAAGAAGAAGAAAAAAAAAAAAAAACTAAGATAGGCCAGCCTCTGTTATCTAAAAATATCAGGAAAATTCTCTCTCAGAATTCAAACCTCCCAGAATTCTGGAGATACTTCCACAAAGGCACAGATTTTTCCCAGGAGACTCACGAGGTATAATGGAATCATAGTGTGGAGACATGAATTTTAGGTCAGAAGTTCAGACTGGTGTGCTGATAAATTTAGAAAACAGTAAGAATCCAAATAAAAGCGACACAGAGCAGCACATACAGGACAGCGTTAGAATATACCAGAGAAAGAGGGCAAATCTTTAATCACTGCCCCTGAATGCAGCGTGCAAAAGGGATCCATAAAATCCCCTTATCACCCTCCCCGGCCCCTTTTGTGTTTTCCTGCCAACGCAGCAGGCCTCCTGCTATATAGACCTACTGGGGCTGGCCGCTTCCAATGTACTGAGCTCGCAAGGTCTGTGTCAACCGGCCATGGGGAAGGTAAGCAGAACACAAGTTAAAGAAAAATAAAGAAAGAGGAAACAAAGCCTTTGTGCTTTGGGAACAAATGATTTCATTCAAATTACTTTTCCTTTGCAGATCACTTTCTACGAGGACAGGAGCTTCCAGGGCCGCTGCTACGAGTGCAGCAGCGACTGCCCCAACCTGCAGACCTACTTCAGCCGCTGCAACTCCATCCGCGTGGACAGCGGCAGCTGGATGCTCTATGAGCGTCCCAACTACCAGGGCAACCAGTACCTACTGCGGCGCGGGGAATACCCCGACTACCAGCAGTGGATGGGCCTCAGCGACTCCATCAGCTCCTGTCGCCTCATCCCCCCAAGTGAGTCCTGCTGCCTAAGGGACTCACTTGGGGGATGTTTTATTGATGTGGGTTTGAGGGGAAAGAATTTTCCCTTTAAAAGTTAAGTGGGCTTTAGATACCTGCCTGGGCCTAGATGTGTACAGGCATGGAAACAACGAAAAAAAGAACCCATTTAGAAGTGCCAGTTTTATTTTTAATTTCTGTCACCATTAGGTCAAAGTTGTTTGTGACAAATGTAATATCATAATGAGATACACAACAAAACTTGCAGATGGAAAGCTGGCTGGGCATAAGATGGCACTGTTTCTAGCAAATATATTTTTATCTACATGAAAGGAATTTCTAATAAATGAATTAAACACGTTGTACTATAGACTTGAAAACTCAGTTTATCAAAATAGGTTATGGAAAGGTAGTATCCAAGTTTGGAAAAGTCTTTTAATTTGGAAGTGACTATTAAAACCAAAGTTTCATTGAATTACATTTTTAAAATCTTAAATCTGCTGTTAAGTTTATATGTGTATTAATTGGAAGATATTATTCTTATTAGGAGAATACTGGTCAAAATAGACTATTTGTTTTTACCCAAAATACAGGTTTAAGCTAACACAGGGAGTTAGTAATCAAGATATTTGAGTTTGTAATCAATTCTCAGAGTCTGCACCTCTTTAAAATCCCATCTCCTAGATTAGAAAGGAAGGAAGGAAGGAAAGAAGGAAGGAAGGAAGGAAGGAAGGAAGGAAGGAAGGAAGGAAGGAACTAAGCATATGAATATTTGCTAAATAATAGCAGAAAACTTCCATGTACAGCCCTCGCAGCAGTTTTGGAGTCTCAGATTCTATATTCACAACCACAACACCCCGGCTTCCAGATTCATGTGGTGTTTGGATGAATTGTGGAAGAGACTCACTTGCTTTTTCCCATTCTTCTTTTTGTGGATGGAACAGGCAGGCTCCCACCGGATACTGCTATATGAGAGGGAAGACCACAAGGGCCTCATGGTGGAGCTAACCGAGGACTGCTCCTGCATACAGGACCGTTTCCACCTCAATGAGTTTCCCTCCCTCCATGTGCTGGAGGGCTGCTGGGTCCTCTATGAGATGCCCAACTACAGGGGACGGCAGTATCTACTGCGGCCCCAAGAGTACAGGCACTACCAGGACTGGGGAGCCGTGGACGCTAAGGCAGGCTCTTTGAGAAGGGTGGTGGATTTATACTAAAATAGGTTAACACTTCCATTTTCTCATTTTGGAACCTAATAAAGTATTTAGTCTGTATTGTCGGCAACTGCTTGACTTCTGTTTTTCTTTAATTGTGTGCAAATCAAGCCACCTGTAAATGTTAAAGTTTAAGAGATATGGGGCACTCCTGTAATTC